CCGTGCATGCAGTGTTTGTATCTCGGCACTTGTAGCCGCCCGTAGGTCGATCCGAATATTTGCACATAAATTTTAAATTTTCTGTAAATTATGAACGCATCATGCAGGCATGGCGCAGGCCTTGGAGGTGCGTGATAGTCTATGGGGTTTAGGGGTTGTGCATATGCAATGACGACCGGTCGCCTTCCTGTTTCGTTACGTGTGCAGAAGATGTGTCGCGGCTGAAGGAGGAGATGGTGGCGACGACGTTCCCCTACGTTGAAGACGCACCGGGACAGGGCTTCGGCGAGGGCACATGGGCAAACGTCGTGGCGAAAGTCCAAGCGCGCTTCCTCCCGTACAAGATAGTACGGCGAAACAAGCAGAAGGTACGCAGGTGCACCGCGAGTAACCCCGTTGTAAAGAGTGCCGGACCCTCGCTATTGATCAAGAGCCGGGTGGAAATAGGCGGCGGGAAATAGGTGGTCGAGCCCTTCGCCCGTTCGCACGCCGTTGCGGGGCGCTCACAGCACTTTCCTGTTTCATCGTCCGCAGAAAGCACGAAAGCGGGGCGGAGCTTCGTTGCGCGCGTTGCACTTCCCCCACCAGCGAATACTCCGTTGGATACCATCTCGTATTGCATATTAGATTGCACACCCTCCGGTGACAAACGAAAATCCGTCTTGCTGTCCTACCAGCTTTTCTCTGAATCCCAGGCGAGCGCTCGGCTGCAGCGGAACAGGTGGAGACGCGTCGTGTTCGAGTGCGAGCGGAGTGGTTCACCTGACAAGCGGTCGCAATCGTCGAAGAAGACAGGAACGAAGAAGGTGGCGTTCCATAGTGAAATCCGGTGTACGCTGGGGCGCTTTCATCTTCATGCGCGAGTAGTAGGCACGCTGTTTTCTCCGTTGCTGTCTCTCCTCGTCCTCGGCAAAGCACATGGAAGAGGCTATGGTGATTGCAGAGAACCACTGTAGAACATATGTGCGTTTTCTTCGTTGCTTGTGATGTGCCGGGTTCAGGACGACAACCGGGTGTGCTGTCCTCTCCGTCTGTACTGAACCCCGAGAGACATGCATTCGTGCTCATGCTGGTGTGTTTTAACGCAAGCACATACGTCCCCTCACGTTTCAGGAACGATTGCTTACCCCTGCGCAACGCTGTGACTGTAAATATATCGACTCCCAGGTGAACTGCGAGTTTTTCCTTGCGGCGAACTGGCGAGCAGATTAAGCAAGCCCTACCTTTTCGAGTGTGAGTTCAGCTTGACTGCACAGCGCACGTTGCAATATACATGCGAAGCGCAGAGTGTTGCTCGCGGTAAATGACAGGTTTAACCCTTTCCATACCGGTCGCCCCGGTGGTCTAGTTGGTATCCACGTAACCTTCTAGCGACCAGGATCACGGGTTCGAATCTCGGCGAGAGTGGTTTTTGTCTCACTTTCGTACCTGGTAGTGGAAAGCGGTAAAAAGCTTAAAAGCTTCGTGAGAAGACAAATTCGACTTCATGTCGACGAGGGAAAGGGACGGCTGAAACCTTCTCACGATTAAAGAATGATAAAAAGGAGAAAAAAACGTCAGTGTTCGCTCCCTCCTGTGTGACCCCGGTTGGTTCAGACGGACATAAAATACCATGCAAAGTGGAGTCCTCTGAATACGCTGCAAAGCGAAGTACACGTCTCGCCTTGACCAGAGGGACTGTCACCAAAATAGATGGGAAAACACACACACACACACACACACACACACGTACCCTCACATCCCTTCGGCCCTCTCTCTATTTCGACACCTTTCTTGTGCCTTGCCCATGATGCTGTCGCCCCTCCACTCCCTATGGCCCAGACCGGGATGTGCCTGCACCACTGCGTTGGGACCACCGGAGTCGAGCACGAGCCTCGACGAACGTTCGAAAACGAGATGACCCAGGAGGAGGTTGAGAAGGAGACGGGCTTGATCCTACGCTTGCACTTTCAGAAAGTGGACAAGCCGCAAATCTTCAAGGCGCTTCAGACCCCTACGAAGAGGCTGGGAGCGAAAGGGAAGGAGATGGTGAGTGAGTAGGGTAAGGCGCAGACCAAGCACGTTGCACTCGTGGGTTCCATGACAGACAAGAAGGATAGAGAACTCGGCTTTCATGTTGGATACCCTCGGAGGCATCCTCGTTTGGTTGGTCGTGTGTTCACCCTCGAACTGGTGGTGTTGCATCAGTACATTTTGCAGCTCTGGTGGCGTCTTCAGTTCTCTGAAACTTAGTTCGTGTTCCCTCGGCCCGACGCTGTACATTTTTGCCGTAGGTGAGAACCATCATCAGTCGCGCTGAGAGGGAAAGCGCCGCAGATGTCGAAGACGCACGGCAGTTCTTGGGCAAGCTCCAGAAGGAGGGTGTGTGGGTGAGATTCCAACTGGACGAGGACAGGCGCGTGGCGCGCATTGCTTGGGCGCTCGACGAGCAACAGGGCAACGCGCTGCGGTACTCCAGCATCATCATCCAGGACAACACCTTCAACACGAACGAGTGAGTGTTTTTTTTTCTTTTGCCTGTTCTGCTGTGGAGATCGCAGCGTTTTCTGCTGTTCTTTCGGTTTCCTGGTCGAAACGTACGGCTCGCTCGCCTGTTGCGAACAACCTCCTGACTCCATGTTCGATTTGTGCTCAATGTTTTGGTCGCACCCCTACCAGATACAAGTACCACTTGGCACTAATCGTCGTCGTCGACAAAGAGAACTACACCCAGATCGCGATGCAGGCCCTACTTGCGAACGAGCGGACTGAGGACTTCAAGTTTCTCTTCCGGGTTTTCAGGGAACTGTGCGAGGGGGTGCAGCCAGAGGTAAGCCCGCCTCCCATTTGCAGCGTACAAGAGTTCCCGTAGAGCGTTGTCTTGGGACACGTCGGCTATTTACCCTTTGAAACTCTTTTGCCCCAAAGGGTATTTCGTTCGTGAAGATGGTGTACGATGAGTTTCGCTGAGTGCATCTTCCTGACGTCCTTGTCCTTTCCCTCAACGCGCGTCGGCCACTCTGTGCGAAGTACGTGATCTTCACTGACGCTGACCAGGCAGCAATGACGGCAATCGATGAAGAGTGCCCGGCATCGCACCAGAAGCTGTGCCTGTTCCACATGGATGAGAACCTCATGAAGCACGGCGAAGGCCTTGAGCAGGGCGTCCTGGCGGGGGTGAAGGGGATGTTCCACGCAGCAGCGTACGCTCACACGGAGGAGGTGGATAGTCGTCTTGGGGAGTTAAAGTTCTGGTTCATGAAATTGTGGTGTGGATCAAGCGCCTCTTAGACAGAGTTCGGGGCAAAGGCTGCAATATCCGCGGGGCGTGTACGGATGGTGCGTGCAGACGGTGCATGGTTGAAACTGGTGCGATCTTTCTTTCCTCGCAGCTTTTCAGATCAAAACTTGAACCTGCAGTCCCCTCCGCCGTCCCGTCATTCCCCCCCTCGGCCTTGCCTGCTCCGCTCCTTTCTCGGCTTGGCAGATGTTCCTGAAGCACAAAGCGAATCTATTCAAGCAGCTTAAACCGGACAGTCACATGTACAAGTACATGGCTGACTTCGTTTTCGAACCAAGGTAAGCAGTGTCTGGCACAGCAGCACTCCAGACAGTGATGCCCAAGGTACCTCGACCGGGGAAAGCTTGGTCGGTTGCGGTTGCCTCGCCCCCCCCGTGGGTGCCTTCCTTGTCGCATTTTTGTTTCGCCCAGCTTTTGTGTTTTTTACCCCCTCCACCCCTCGCGCCACCGGGGAATCTACTGCCCCGTTATTCTGTAGTCGTTTGGGTTGTCAATGTCTTCGTTGACTTTTTTTGTCGTTCAGCGTTGCACCAGTTGCTCTCCTTCACTTTTGACACCGTGGCTTCCGGCCTGCCGCACGCAACAGGCGGGTACAGCGGTGGGCTTCGTTTGTGCACCCTGGACTCCACACGCTCAACATTGTCTCCACGCAGCGAGTGGAATCGACCAACGGTGCCTTGAAGACGGCGATGCACAGATCGGGGAGTATGGTTGACGTGCATGACACACCATCGTCGGCAAGGTTCAGGATGACGCCAACAAAAGCAAAAGGTGGGCATTATGTTGGAATCGTCGGTTGTTATTAAGGCAACATCTTGTGTGCTTTGTGAAATGTCGTGGCCAACCGCGCACAAGTGGAAAGGTTGTGGGCTGCCTGGCCATATAATGTCTTTTTCACCAGCTGACAACCAACGTGCGTTTCCACCACCGTCTGTCGAGAACGACTAAACATACCTCGAAAACCACGGGAAGCCCAAGTCATATTTTCTCCTTCGACTGGCAGGTGAAATCACGGCGTCGAGTCAAATTTGCATATCCACTGCTTCATTGTATTGCCTCTGCAATTTGTGTGTTGCTTTCCCATCATCAACTCATTCCATCTTGTATTCGCCCTCTTGCTGCTGGTCGGTGCGCTTTGAAGGCAAACCACTGGGGGGGCGGTCCAACGCGTGCGTCCACCGACAGCCTCGCCCTTGGAGAGAGTGACGAACAGCTGGCTTGAAGGTTTCGACTACGTCCGGCGGGCTATGCGACACGCGGAATGCAGCGCCTACGCTATGAAGGTCAGTTTTTGCAGTCGTACGTCTACTGGGTGCAGAACTTTTGGAATATTACCCCTTTCCCCCCTTTCACCCTTAGTCCCTCCTTCTCCGCCCACCCGTCCGACCCTGTCATACCTTACTATTGCAATATTTACCCTAGAGCGCGGCAACAGTGATATCTGCATGCGTTGCACAGCACCAACGAAGACGTGTGTTGATCCATGCGTTTCCCCCCTCCCTCGTATACCGTCTTCGCGTTGTCGTCCCGTACAACCTTGCAGGACATGTCCACCGAGGCCTTGGCGGCAATGGCCTACGACGTCGAGATTCTGGCGACGGGCAAAGAAGATGTCCATCGCGAGATTGCCAGGATAGTGTCGGACCCTGCTATCGCGGGGCTGTCGTACGACCCCACCTCCGGTGGAGGCGACGGCACGTGGACCACGAGGAC